TCTATCATGTGGTATCTATCATTGTTTGATATAGATGTGTTCCTCCACTTGACTTGTGGATACAAATGTGTTCCTCGTGCCCTTTGAACCTGCAAATACAGTACCAATAATCTGGCATTTTATAAACTTTTGTTATGTAATTAGTTTAAATTTAACATGTAATTACATTGGATAGTCTTTCCTTTCAGTCTGCACAGTCAATAAATCTGGCTGTGTCATGAAGTAGTGTCATGTTGCCCTGGCAATGTCATATTTGTAAATACTTAAAGCTGAGATTTGCAGAGGTGGGTGTGACAGCCGACCAGCAGATTACAGAGTGAGAAGTTCAGGGTGAGTGAATGTGAGGTGTCCGTGGTGACATAAAATTTATGTACAGTATCTTGGGAAGGGTTGGACTCTGAACTCATTCAGCACACGTGCGTATATATCTTATCTTTGTATTGAAGTGAACAGCGGCTGATCTTTATGTACCATATACACTGAGTGGCCAGATCATTATGACCACCCCATCAGTACTTCGTTGGGGCGCCTCATGACTCCACAAGATGACTTTGTTGGGGCGCCTCATGACTCCACGAGATGTTGAAAGGTGATGCGAGGAATCTGACACTGCACTGTTGCCCTTCTGTTGTCTTGTACCAGTCTTGCCACTCTCCGTTCTGCCCTAACATTGACTAGTCGCTGACGGCCACAATTCGCACGTTCAGACCCAGATTTTCATCTGACAGTCCAGTCTTTAAACACTTTAATAACAGCTGCTCTTGAACGAATTCTGCTGTTTTGCTGATAATCTCTCCATGGCTCCGAGCGTCAACAATCATCCCACGTTCAAAGGCTGTTAAATCGCGTTGTTTACCCATATTTCAGAAAAAAATCCCTTCTACTGTTGTGGTAAACAACCTGCTTCCCTATTTATAATGGTCTGGCCCTCTAGCAACTTCAGCGCAAAATTATAGCTAATTTGCCTACAAACGTCAGGTGGTCATAATAATCTGGCCACGCAGTGTATTTGTACAGTCATAGACTGTCCCTTATTTCCAGAGATAGTCCCAGATTTGGGAAACATATCACGTTTTAAACAATGGGAAAAATAGTTGAGTTTAACAAACAAGTTTTGTCATATACATTCTCAATGATGCACATAATAAGGGGCATGGCAGAGGTGTGTCCTAAACACATAAAGGGGAATTTATCAAAACTGCAGCAGACAGCAGATTTGCACTGCAACCAATCAGCTTCTCTGTCTCATTTTCAAAACATTCCTTAGCAAACTGAAGAGAGAAGCTGATTGGTTGCCATGGGCAACTGTTCCAGATTCTGTCTGCTCCAGTTTTAATAAATTCCCCCCCATTGTGCTTTAAAGTGTCCCTGTTTCTCATCCCAAAAAGTTAGGAGGTATGCCATCGTGACAGGATATGCCTTCTTTTTTTTAATATTCTTTATTTATAAGCAGAAGGGCATGATACAGAAGACAGAGATCCAGTTGCCCGAAGGCTGCACATACGCATATAACAGCCACATGATTAACCAAACTAGCATAGATGTTACAGAGCTTGTACATTCTCAGCCATCTTACGCCTCGGATCTGCCCATCACTCCGAACCACAGCCCTTAGGACATTTTATATATTCAAAACTAGGGATGCACCGATACCGATACTAGTATCGATATCGGTGCCGATTCCGAGTATTTGGGTAAGTACTCGTACTCGCCCAAATGCTTCGATGCCTAGCACTAGTACTTCCGGTGTCAGGAAGCCGGGCAGCGCGTCATTACACGCTGCCCGGTTTCGCGATTGGCCCAGGAAGCGGCTCCATACTCTCTCGTCACTTGTACTCGTGCTAGGGAAGCTGGCCAATCAGGAAGCTGGCCTTGTGAGGTAAGGTTACCTTACCTTAGTATGTGCAGCCTGTCATCCCTGGGGCCTCTCCAGCGAGAATGCGGCCTTCGCCCGGTACCCAGCCGGAGCCGTCCAATCAGGAAGCCGGGCACCGTTTAAATGACGCGACGCCCTTCTTTCTGATTGGCTGGGAAGCTGGCTTCATGCTCCCTCGTCATCTCATGACGAGAGAGCATGGAGCCGGCCTCCCGGCCAATCAGAAAGCAGGGTGTCACGTCATTACACGGCGCCCGGCTTCCTGATTGGCCGGCCAGACGGCTTCGGCTGGGTACCGGACGAAGGCCGCGTTCTCACTGGAGAGGCCCCGGGGGTGACAGGCTGCACATACTAAGGTAAGAGGGGACTTTCTTGTTAATCGGGAAGCCGGGTGGCGACTCTTTACACACTGCCCGGATTCCCGGCTAATCAGGAAGCCAGGTGGCGAGTCATTACACGCCACCTGGCTTCCTGAATGGGACTTCCGTTACTCGGTAATTGGTATCGGCGAGTACCAAAAAAAAATTATTGGTACTCGTACTCGGTACCAAAATACCGGTATCGGTGCATCCCTATTCAAAACACATATACGTATATGAGTAACGAAGAGACAAAAGACCAGATAGACACAAGACACAACAGAAGAACAACAGAGGTGACAAAATGCTCGACTCGAGACACTGGCCAGCGGCTGTCAGCCCTCCCGCACTCCCATAATTCCCAACGCCCAGTGTCGCATCACCGCCCCCTGGGCCTCGACATTGAAGGTGGTTCATTCCTGACACAGCTTTGCGCATTCCGAGGATTCGGGGATCCGAGGAGTGTGGGGATCCACGCATCGAGGAGGTCAGATCCTCCATCAATTTGATTTCCTCCATCTGACTCACCCACATCCCCACTCACGGTGGTCGGGCCTGTCTCCACAAGGCTGGGATACAGGCCCGAGCAGCATTGAGCATGCGAATCAGTAGAGAACGCTGATAAGCTTTCCGTGAGAGTGGGGCCTGGTGAAGGAGGTATACAGAGGGTGTGAATGGTATTGACAGGCCTGTAATCTGCGTTACCAGGTCTGCAATTTGGGACCAGAGGGGAGCAACCCTGGGACATTCCCAGAAGATATGTAGTAAGGAACCTTCCTCCTCCCCGCACCTCCAGCATGTCGCCGGCACCGAGGGATACATGGCGTGCAAAGCCTTAGGGACTCTATACCATCTGGTCAGCAATTTGTAGCCAGCTTCTTGGTATCTATTAGACACAGAGGATTTTAGAGCAAACTGTAGCATGAGGTCCACTTGTGCAGGGCTAAATTCAATCCCTAGGTCCGAGGCCCATTGTCTGACGAAATAAGGAGGAGGAAGGTCCGGGGGGCTACGCAGACTGTCCATTAGGAAAGATAACATGTGTCTCAGTGGTTCCGCCTTCTCGCATATTGTTTCAAAGTCTGTTCACTGTCTCAGCGGGGGAACCCCCGCCTTCGAGGTGCATAGGTAATGGCGTATCTGCAAGGCGCTCCATGTCCGCAACGGTGGGTCATGAACTTCCTGTATCTGGGACATAGACATCCACTGTCCTAACTCCTGAAACTGGTACAGTCTCGTATGGGCCGAGGCTGCAAGTTCATTGGCCAGTGGGTTATGCAGACCCGGAGGAAAGTGCGGGTTTCTGGTCAATGGCACGAGGGGCGATGGCTGGGGGGAAATACCCGGCAAAGGCAGCACCTTGTTCACTACCTGCATTGTGGCACGGACCAGGGGGTTAGACCAGTGGGACAGTGGCAACTTGGGATAGATCCAAGGGGCATTCTGTAGGGGTACCCCACATTCCAGCTGTTCCAGGGTTACCCATAGCTTATGACGAAAATTGCAGCACCAGTCTACCACCACGGATAGGTGTGCAGCTTTGTAGTACATCACCGGATCGGGAAAGCCCAGGCCACCCGCCCCCCTAGATCTGGACAAGAGCAGATGTCTTAGGCGGGCCCGTTTGTTCATCCATAAAAAGGCGAGTAAACGGGATGTAACGCCTGTATTTGATTCGGGGGTTTGTGGATAACAACTGCGGAGGCTTCTCAGGCAGGAATCCCTGGTTTCACTCTCAATCTTATCGGAGAGTTAGGGTTTCAAGCATCACAGCCCCAAATAAAGAATATTAAGGTTCAGATAGGGTTATTACTTCATAAGCCCTATTTTAAGCACGAGTATGGATTAGGGAATAATGAGTAACCAGATCACAGTGTGAAAGGATCAATTCAGTAACAGAGTCTGTAGTGATTAGTCCAGGCAAGCTATAATGAAATACTGCAGGCAGTCCAAATGGGTATACAGTCTCTATGACACAGTGGAGTGCAGGATGCAGAGTACTTGCGGTTTTTGAGTGGCTGGAAAAGGAGCTGGGGGTCCTAGGGTATCCGATCCAAGGATGTGTGGCTGACAGCACAGTTCGGTGGTGGTGCAGGGTCCCAGGAGACAGCAGGCGTTCTGGCTTCAATAGTGGAACGCCATACTGTCTTGTCTGGGTGTTTATATAGGGCTAGGAAGTGGGGTAGGAGCCTCCCAGCGGATCGGCGCACTTCCGCGTACCAAGGTGGTACGCAGCGGCATCAGAAACCGGACGTGGCTATGCGTGCGCTCCACCATGGAAGGCAAGAGAGCAGACCCGAGAAGCGGCGGAATCCCGAGGGACTCCCGATCCCCTGCTGAAGGACGACGGCGGTTGCCGTTACACGGGAGTGCAGCTGGCGTAAAAACGTGGCAGGGACCACAACGGGTAGCATCTGAAGAAGGTACAATAATCTTGGCATGACTGTCATTTTTAAGATGTTGTTGCGTCCTAGCCAGGTAAATGTGGGTCGGTCCCAAGACGCTAAGTCTGAGAGATCCCGCTTTCAGAGCGGAAGAAAGTTTAGAGCGAATGTCTTACGGATGTCTGCGGGTATGAAAACGCCCAGGTACTTGATACATGTGTCTGCCCATCTAAAACGGAACG